TATCCTTAGTAATATTTACCTTTTTTTAAAATAGCTTAGTATATATAGCCTATAGTATACTAATACTAGAAAAGTTATTATAAATAAGTTTTTTCACCTTTTTTATACGCTTAAGGCGCTATAGAACTAGTATAGCTAATACTTTAAGTATAGGTTTATACCTATAATAAAAGGCCTCTACTATTTACTATATTTAGGTGCTTTTTAGCTATTAGGTAAAAGTTCTATATATAGAATAACTGCTTTTCTTAGTTACTATATTATATATATAATTCTAAGGTATATAGTAGCCTATAAAAGTATACTAATACTATATTTTTTAGGTTACTTTATACTTATTAGGTTTACTATAGTATTTTACTAAGCTATAGCCTTATACTAAGGCGTGCGCTTATAGTATAGTATACGTATTTTCTATTATAAAATAGTAGGCTAGCTATAGCAGCTATAAAGCTATAGTAAAAGGTAAAAAAAGTATATTATAAAAGTAGTAAATAAGAATTATATACTACTATATTTAGAAAAAGTATTTAAAATTAGTAAGCAAATTAAGTAAGTAAATTAAAGGCTTTAAAGCACCTATTTAAGCTAATTAAAAGGTAGTAAAATAAAAGGGGTTAAAAAGGTATATACCTACTAAAATAAGGGGGTATATAAATATAATAGAGGAGTATATAGGTACTTACGCCTATTATAAAATATTAAATTTTAATTTTACTACTAAAATCCGCAACTTATTACTAAAAACTGCTAGAAACTGCTAGAAACTACTAAAACTATAGTAACTTAAATTCTTTTACTAAAAACTATTTCCCTAATATAGCTACTAGTTATAATTACTTAGAACTAAATATAGCTAAATATAACACGTAGACTAAAAACTATAAGCTATAGAGTATTATACTATAAATATATATTTAGTAGTAAAATACGGCTAAATACTGCTAAAATACTAGGAACTTTTTCCTTAATATATTATAGCTATTATAAGAACAGCTACTATATTTGCTATTAGAAGCCTGTAAATAGCAGTAATTGTAATAATTAGGGCACTTTAGAGATGTCCGATTCCAAGAATTATTATATTTCACCTCGGTTCGACCAAGCCTGGTGGCGTCTAAGCGACGAAGATGTTTCCAACGTAGCAGAAGGAGAGGTTTTAGGTCAAGGCGGCGTCTTCATGCTCTTCTATGAGCGGTCTGACATCGACCTAACTCCGCTTTCGCAAGTCTCTACTGAAACTGCAGTTAATGCACCTTCCGCAGTGCTCCATACACCCTTGTCACTTGTAGACGATCTCATCAAAGTTTGCGGAAGCTCTCCTGTGCCCTCGGATGATGCTACGCGAGTGCCGCTTCCGGACGATGATTCTGAAGCTGAACTTTATCCTGATCTCCGGAAATTCGCTTTAATGACGACAGATTCAAATCTGGATGGCGTTAGGGCGTCGAGAACGATGGTACTTCATGCCTCATCGTCATCTAGTGATGCCTCGGGAAGCGCCCAGCAACCTGCAGCAAATGGAGACATCAGCCTACCGGACGCCGAAGAGTCACAATCGACAAACTTGACTAGTGATGAAGACGAATCCGAGACTGACTACCTACCTTCCGACGTGCCTGTGAGCCAGCCTATAGCGAGTCATAGCCCGGCGTTGATGAGGACCGCAGGAGTGTCTGGACATTGCAGGACCAGCGGTTCCAGGTCTTCTCTACCTATGGTTGCTGCTACATGATATTTTCTCTTTCGAAGATCAACTCACTCATGTGAGGCGACTGGGCAATGGCGTTGGGTTGCTGTCCCAGCGTTGTTTGAGGTTTGCTATGAACACGGTGCTTCAGCATTGCATTGGGATGAGTTAACGTGGGCATTTTGTGACCGCATGCTTGGCGTTTGAGATAGCGGAGTTTTTGGTTCTGGGTGCATTGTATGTCGTAGTCTCCTCAGAGGGCGCATCTCGGTGGTGTGTCAATTGAACTATTCCCACACTCTCTAGTCTCCATTGGGCCAGCAATTTTACCCACACGATTAAGAAGCAAGGCTATATGGTCTTAACCAACAACCTAATGTTGTCCTCGCGACTCGAGCCTTACTCTGTTCAAGTTGGTCCCCGTGGAAAAGACTACAATTGACGCCAGGGTGCGTGTGTCAAGGTTGGTGTTGACGGGCTTCTCATACATTAGTAGTCCCTCTCTGCAGCCATCTATTCAAAAGTCAAAATATCTTCTTCGACAAGGCAGACCAGTATTGATTGCCATTGATACTAATCTAGATCAAATTTGCCGTCAAGTATCGCAGTCCCAATCTCGCACTCGCAACTCACACGTCCTCTCTCGCGGTTCCCTTCTACTTGGCTATCACAAGATTCTGGAGGTTCAAGTTCATGACCAGAGACGAACCACTCAGATCTTCGTTTTTGTTCACAAACCTACTCCGCTCGTGGTCAAGTTCCGAGATATTGTATAGTTCGACCAAATGCTTCCCGTTCTCAAGCCACACCACAACAGCAAGCAAACCGCCCTTAGCCGCAAACTTATACACCTCACCTTGACGCTCCCTTAGATCGAAGCGAACCTGATGTGTTTGGCGGTCCCAGGCCCGGAGAAGCCCGTTCACTGCCCCAGTGATCATAAGGTCCTTGGTCCAGACAACTCCGCATATAGCGTTTCTTCCCGCAGAGCTGTCACCGGCCCAGAACGTGTGCACAGAAGCGCCGGTATCCCATTTCCAAGTCCGAATCCAGCCGTCCGCTGATGCTGAAATCAGAAGTCCCGCATCGTCTGGGTCTGTCGTCAACTGGTTTACCACCCGTGTGTGGCCAAGGCAGCTGGCAATGCATGCACTTGTCATGCCAGATGACTTATTAGCTGTAGTTTGAGTCAAGAAGAAAGTACATTTTCTCACCCAGAGTTGACGTTCCAAATTTTCACCTCACCTCCCGTTGCTCCTGTAGCAAGCAGAGAACGATCGGCGTTGAACTCTGACACCACGACACAGCCATCATGGCCTTCTTGTAAGCCTCTGGAATGACCATTGTTCAAATCCCAGATCTGGACGATTCCGCGACCAATTCCAGAAACAAGAAGGTTATCATGGCTTTTGAGAGACGTTATTGGCTTCAGATACGCAGTACCACAGGGCTCTTCTAATGTGTGCCGTCTTGTGCCGGAAGGAACGTCCCACACAATTAGACTTCCATCAGTTGCGCCGGATATGATTGTCTCTGCGTCTGGAAATGATACACATTTTATCTCGCTGGTATGGCCATCGAATGCCAGGCTCTTTGCGCTGTCTTATTTCAGGATGTTCATCTTGTTCAAGCCGCTTGGATGTTTCAGACTCGTGGACATACCCTGTCTTCAAGTCCCATACTCCTACTCTCCCGTCCTCGCCCCCCACTGCCATCGTGTCGCCGCAGCAGTCGAAAGTCCAGGCACATCCCACCGGCAGCCATCGCCGATGCTCGCATATTTCGAGTCCATTATGCTGACAGCGGACATCGAGGACGTTGAATTCTTCGACGCCTTTTCCACCTGTGGTATGGCTCACAACGAGATAATTGTCAGCCAGATGGACCGTGCGCATTGTTGTTGGGTTTAGTATCAAAAAGCCAGCCCGCGGAGCCATCGTAGACTTCAGTTTGAAGCGCTGGAATGTGGAAAAAGTAAAGCCAGGAGGATCGAGGATAATGTTGAACGTGAGGAAAGGCAACAGCTTTTGTATTTGGTGCTGTGCCGCAGGCGGACGAGGGGCGCCACCCAGGCTTTAAATAGCAACTGGAAAACAGAAAAACAGGATGGAAAACGAACGGCGCAGTAACGATCCTCCAACTCGAACCCCTCCAACTCGAACCTCTACACGCACCTACCTAAAACTTATCTGCACCACAGTGATCAAGGTCAAATCCACGATCGATCTAGTCTGTGCAATAGATTCCGCCGCCCGGATGACGAAAGCAGTCTCCGCACCCAAGGTTGTCACAGTGTGCATTTATTCTCGGGTCGGACCCTGTTGTTGAGCAAGTAATTTCCGTGCACGAGCTATCTTGTGGATCAACAAGGCCGTGGTTTCGTTGATAGATGAACATTTCGCCGGGCTCGCTGTGCGTTGCTTGAAGATTTTTATCTAGGCAAGAGCCCCCCAAGACCGCTGCAGAAGCGCAACTGCCCAGGTCAGGTTCTATTCAGAAGTCTAGCTTGGTTTGGTCTACTTACAGTGTCCAGGGGAGGACGAATACGTGGGCTATCTTTGTAACTTGGTACTTCCAGCCAGGTAGACCATATGTCGCCAGGCAAGACGCCATGTAGATGATCTGTTGGGAAGTGTTAGTCCCAGTATCAGGCTCAGTGGGACTCACTCACGCAGGAGGCATGCAATCCACGCTCCTCCAGCTCTTCACGATACTCTTGTTCAGCACGAGCGTCGAGCTTCAGTGCCTCGTTTGGAACCGGCAAAGCTTCACGCCTCATGGGGCAAACCGCAGCAATACCGCCAGACGCAGCGAGAGCGAGGATAACGAGGCTAGAAGACCGCATATCGAGTGTGAAGGCAGAGTCGGGTTCTTGGAGAAATTGAATTCCAGGTGGTGATTGAAAATATGATTCTCGCAGGATGAAGGTAAAAGTGATCTCTTTGGTCTGTCGGTTTCTTTCCTAGGTGCTTGAACTCTTTATATCTTGTCTCTACTCTCACTTCCATCAACCAAAAGTGGTCATACGTATCATCCCTCAAAGGCCAGATATGTGGCACGTTCAGCATGTTTCCAAGTTTGGAGAAGCGTGACGTGGCTATGAGTTTGCATGTCATCACTTTGCGTGGGAAGAGGCGCACAGCAAGCAGAGAACCAACATTTCAGGGTCGGAAGAGAGGCACAGCACTGCACGGTGCATCGCTTGCGTTTCCTGGTATTGCATGCGGCACTTTCGAGTCTCGAACTACTGCGCCTTCGAATTGCGCGTATCGCGAGCGAGGTTGCCTTCAGAAGAGGCACCTTACGCCAGCATATCTCTATCATTAGTTTCTCTGTGTGGCACATAAAGGAAAGCGCTCGAAGATTGGGCTATTTTTTAACACATCACTCCACAACTAGCCACTGAACGTAGCCTGAAGGTATGACCGCTCTTACTCCATTCCTCATGAATGTTTGAAGTCGGATTGCGGCGAACCGGGTGCGGCATGGCTCCTTAGTGGACTGACCAATGATCACGCTGCTAGCAGCGTAATGCATCTCACCGGGTACAAAGGTACGATGGCTTCCACAACGCGAATTCATTTTATTAACATAAACCTCACAGTAATCAATCCTGTCGTAGCAGCTACACCTTACTGAGTTTGACACTGCCACAATTCCAGGCACATATGGCAAGCAGGTGAAATATCGTGGCGTTCCGTGGCGCTCCTGTGACGAAATCAAGGTCCAAAATAAATCCCTGGACCACGATTCCCCAGGTCTATTACCGTGTTGGTTGTCTCAACTTTGGGGCTTGGGCGCTGAGTGACCCACGCTGCACGGCGATGTTCTTCGAGGGCTCGCCGCTGCACTTCTGCGCCGTGGTCCTTGAAACGCCGATTCAGTGATGTAGCGAGGGCTATGCAAATGGGCCGGTACAGCAGAGAGGCTGTGAAGTACCAATTCGAAGATCATCACAACCTGTTACAGTATACCGAGAGGGAGGTAGGGTCGCCGTGTAGGGCTGACCAACATGGTCAACTTATCCGACCAACCCCTTCAAAACAACGAGATCTTCACGGAAACTATAGATGCTAGTGGATGATTGATTCGACACGCCTGAAACATAGGAAACGCAACTAATGGCGCAGTCGTATGGATCTTTCAACTCGCCGCTGCTGAGCTCCTGATGTGTGCCGCAGACGCACTGTCTACGCTGTGAATCCCGCCAGATTCCGAGTCATGCGATACTCTGCATTCAACATCGCTCAATTCTCAAGGGTCATTCGAATCAAGGCGCAGTTCTGCGTGTGACATTGATTCCCCCGTGTTGGTGTCTCAATGCTGGCTACCAGTCAAATTCTTGACCATCAGAAAACGGGGCTTGACGTTGTTTCATCTCTGAACGGTGTGCAGCATGTGCCCTCTGGGAAAGGATTGTGTGCATGCTCTGGTGATGAGCGCAACTGTACTGTTTCCATGAAGCTAGATTTCACGTAGAACAAGTCCAGAGCGCTGCAGAATGAATTGTTAGTCAGAAAAGAAGCTATAAGTGCACAGGAGCTCCCCCGTTCAAGTATCAGTTTCTATTAAGACCTGCTCCAATATCAATCAACATCTTTCTGGCTTTCATCAACACATTGTTTCACAACTTCAAGCTCGGTATCACACTTTTCTACCTCTTCAATCGCCATGCGTTCCTCCAGTCTCGTCACCCTGGTGCCCCTCGCAGCGACAATGGTATCTGCAGGCTGCTTTGGAGGTGGCGCTAAGGGCGACCACGCACTTGCGCTCGCCCAAGTTGACTCCGTGTGCGCCGGATTCCAGGGGTCATTCGAGAAGAAGCAGCCCCGTAACGCGTGCGTCTTTCAGGCTGGTGAGAATACATCCTGGTACTTCTCGATCCGCAGGGATGCAAGTGAAGGCGGCATCCTTACAAAATCTGTTTGTATTGCTGGCCTTACGAAGGAGGTGACCGGATGCGACCATGGAGGGCAAAGCAAGTCAGGCGATTGGATCTTCACGTTAGTTTCCGTATATCCATGATTGGGGCCCACACTTACTCCTTCAGATCCGACCCTAATGACGGTATGTGCTCCGATACGGAGTATATCAACAACCAGACGCCCCAGCCGCCCCCGTCGAAGGAGAGGCGGTCTAACGCCCCGCCGCACCAACACGCGAACGACTTCAGCGTGGGAAAACGACAGCCAGAGAAGGGAGACATCAAGATCGTTTATGACATCGGCATTCCAGTCCCAAATCCCGTATCAGAGAAGAGAAGCGATGTGACGATCGTCTATGATGTCGACATTCCGGAAAAGAGCCACGCGATACCTTTCCAAGCCTGAAGAACGAGCGAAGGAGAGAATGTGTAGCGTTCGAGATGTGTCCGGGCTGGCTCCCCTCATTCGAGTTCTCATCTCGATGGAATATGTTCCGCATTTGCTGAAGTGTGGGACGGATGTCATTGATGCCATCTTGGCTTTTTTGCCATGTCACTCGTTTTTTTTGGGCTTTCTCTTCCACCGAGCCTTTGAATCTGCTTTTCATATGTGTGGTTTGGGATTTGCTTTTCAACTAGTTATCTAGTATGTCACTCGTTGCATTCAATGAATTTGAAAATAACGTGGTTCACCATGCATTGGATGTCCCACCAGCTTGAGGGAACTAGTACCTAGACCAAGCTCTTGCCACACTTTTAGCATAGATGTTACTCTTAGGCGGCTTAGGTATCGGTTTCTAAAAATACTCGAGAGCTGTTGACGCCACGAAAGTCATCTGCACGCGCTGGCCTTTTTCTCAGAACGCATAAGTGACTCAGGATGTTGGCTGAAGCTCACCAACTCCATACGTGTTAGCCCCATCAACCCCTATCTTTACTTCTTCATTCCAAATCACGGATACAATTGGTTCCGGTGGCTTGCGCCACCTTATTTTACAACTCTATATATACAGCCCTTACGGCTCAATTAATACACCAGAGTTCTCATTCCTAACATCTCAAGTAAGTGGCACAGTTTGCTACGCCACTCACAGCCCCGAAGACCTGAGTGACTGCACAGACATTACAAAATTAGAAACGTCCCAGAATTGCTAGACGCCTTGGGGGGCGCTTACAAGTTTAAAGGGTCTTATGTCATGCTCGAGGTGGGCAGTATTCATGGCGCAGTAAAGGACACGGTAAACACGTCGGTTATAGTTCATCCCGGGCCCTTGAGACTCACCATATCTGTTCTATGGATCTTACTAGGGCCTATCTAAGTCTCTACTGAACCCTTTTCCATTTCAGTATTTTTCTAGTTTGAATATATCCCCATTAGGTGGCTAAGAAAACGCCATGGAACTTAACAGCATCACCACAGACAATGACGTTCCCAATCCCCAGAAGTCTCTTGGCTACACGATTACTGAGATTTATTCAAGACATATCTGGGTCCTCTGCTCCGCTATGTCCATACTGACGTCGAAGTACCTCTTAGTGGATCTCAATCTTCACTACCCGATTCATCTTCTCGTCGCTCAATTAGCTGCTCCCACGGCAGTAGCTTTTGTGTATCAGTCACCTAGACATCAGCCTTTTCTCTCCCTATATCAACAATGGACAATCCCGCATCGGGCCTTACTCGTCGCTTCGACTTGCCTGAGGGCACTCTCATTGCCGTTCACCATTCAAGCAATTCTGCACTTTCGCAACATATCTACGCTGTCAATGCTTCCTGTAACAAAACACTTCTTCCCACCATTCGGATCAAGCTAATTCTAGATAGTGCTTGTCGTGTTTCGCCGAACGCGCGACAACCCATATCGTCAATCCATACACCCGCACCCGAAGCGAGTTCATTCGGACAACCTTCCTTGCCGTATCTTGTGGCTGCATAATATACGGAGAATATCGACTTACCATGAAGGGGCTTCTATTCGCCATACCAGCTGCAATTTTCTTCGGCATCTCTAGCTCGCTCAAACGGATCTTGAATGCCTCCTCTAGCGCCGGACTTCATCCGATTCCGGAGAGGAAGCTATTCTACTGCGTCGCGCTTGTCTTGACAGCCATTTGGGCTTTCTTTGAAGAATCCACGCCAAAGATACTTTTCGAACTACATCTCGGATACACTACTTTTCTCTTAGCTAACATATTCTCTTCTACGGCGGCGATGGCATTTGGATGTTCGGTCTTGTTTCCTCAGGATACATCGAAACAGCATGAAATTACGTTGTCCAGTCATACATATGCGCGCGGCCATTTCAGGGCACTTCTGATCTTGACTGGAGTAGTAGGATGTGGATCAGCGGTTATGCTACGTCGGTCCTACACCACGGTCTTTCAGCTCTTCGCATTCTTCGCTGCAATCATATGCATTGAGCACGACGATATACTTAAATCATGTCGCCATTTTGGAAGAGATGCGTACCAAGGGAGCTTATTTCTTCCATCGCTGCCTGAAATCGACTCTGAGCGCTGCCCCAGCACTCCCGCCTCGAATCCACCGCATGCAGCCCGCTTTACCAGGCCTCAGAAGACGTCCAATCGCGCCTTAATCAATTTTGTTTCCTCCACCTTGCTAGTAGGAAGTATCTGGGTGGCCTTCACTGTTATCAACTTCTCAGAGAGCTTGCTCACCCATCAAGGGCCGGTAAATGCAGCGCCAGTTCTCGACCTTGCCTATACTACTCCCGTGTCTACGGAGATTGTGATTAGTATGTACAAGGAGCCAGTGGATTCCATTACCTCCTTAGTGTCGACTCTTCGTAAACTCCCAAGTCTATCAAACTCCCGTGTACACATATACACCAAAGACAAGGACGGCGACATCTCTGCGATTCGACACCAGACGGGTGCCCACAGCGTAACACGGCTCCGTAATGTCGGTCGCGAGGGCGAGACCTATCTATATCACATTCTCTCCCAGTGGGATTCACTCTCGCGCCACACTCTTTTCATCCAAGGCTCAGTCCATAATCAACGGGATTTCTTCAGCCGCGTGCATAATTTCTTCGACCCAGACCGCACGGGCATGTTGAACTTGGGGTTCTCAGGCCATCTATGTAAATGTGGCAACTGCGGCGATGAATGGGATTGGAAGGACACCGCTAAGCTCATACCTCAGCTTTTCTCTCGTGTCTACAACTCATCGGCGTGCTCAGACGTTTTGCTCAGCTACAAGGGACAATTTATTGCGTCTGCAAAGCGTATTCGGGGGCTAAACAGGGCTGTCTATGAAGAACTTCAAGCTGCGCTTGTAGACGAGCGCAGCTGGGCGCATCAAGAGAAATTTCTCGATGGGCGCCAGGATTCAATGAGCGCGCCTGACCTTGGATACACGCTAGAGAGGCTGTGGAATGTTCTTCTTCAATGCTCGGACCTGGCCGTAGCTTGGAAATGTCCCTCTTTATTGAGTGGGAAAAGATGGGGAGGGAGTATGCGGGATTGCCAGTGCCTTGATAATTGAAGTGGTGGTAATCTGCGACTAGGCGGAGGTTGATATCACGTATCCATGCACCAAAGGTTGATTTTCGTAAATCAGTTACGAGAGAGAGACTTTCGTGTTACCTAGGTTTAAGGAGAAAGGAGGGAGTGATTCTACGAGCTTCTCGACTTCTTGCACGGGTTGGCAGCGCGGCCGCAGATGCCATGTGGAATCCACCTGGCTCAGTCATAGCTGGAGTCAGCATACGAACTGTTGTGAAGACAGAGTCCTGTAGCAACCAACGGTGAATCCAGTCCAGATCGTTGTTAATTGACTTAGGCTGGGAAGACTGGTCTTCGGGAACGACGATAGCTTCGGTAACTGTTAGTGCGGTCTCGGATATCACATTCACGCCTTCGGTCACTCAGACCTCTTCAATTGTTGCGATTCTGACTACCTCTGACTGGTCTACGACTCCTGCACCGAGTACTTCCGCGACCCTTCTGGCAGCGCCGATCAGCACCGGAAGTATTGCGGCACGTGTCATAGATCGACAAGCCCTGGGAGCGCTTGTGGGAGGGACTGTGGCTGCATTAGTGATTGCGGTGTGACTGGGAGACACAGCTCATGAAGACATGACGAAGGGCGCTAGTACCTGTACACCCCCTTTTTAGTAAACGTACACCCCCCTTTCTAGTAAATGTACACCCCCCCTCTCGTCTAATCTTCTGATTGGCTGGAACGGCTCGGAGCTTCGTCTGGAGCTCTATTATCACGTGCATCCGCACGTGTAGCTTCGCCGATTCGTGCAGCCGTTATTCATCCTTTCCGATTTGTGTAGCCTCACATACGAGCTCACGTACGAGCTCACGTAGTCTAAGTATAAGTCTAAGTCTAAGTATAGAATAGAAGTTATATTATAGAAGTGCCTACGTGCCTACAAGCATGCCAAACCTGTCGAAACCTCACCTTATTACGGCTCCTTTGCATCGAGCCTAGCCCCCCTGCACCACCGCCTGCGCCTGCTCAATATCTCGATCAATTTCCGCCTCAATATCCTCATCATATGCCGCAAGCTGACGTAGGAGCTCCTTACGGCTAAGCTTCTGAGGATGAGGCTGAGGATGAGGCTGAACACTATCTTGCCTCTGAGCTTGTGGCTTTTTCCGTGGTACCTTATCCTTCGCACCAACCGGGCGGCCACGCTTTTTCCCTGTAGGAGCAGCTGTAGGTGTGCGCTTATAGAGCAATATGCGCTTCCTCCGCTGTAGGGTAGTACGCCAGCCGTGGTGGCTGGAGGGACATGGTGAGTGTATTGTGGAGGTGGAGGAAGAGGCGGTGATTGCTGGTGTTGAGAGTCGCATTTACAAAAGCATTCCAAGTTACTACGCGAGCTAAGCGAACGAATCGGAGGCCCTAGCCGGGCCTCCAAGCCAATAGGAAGGTGGTGAAACGACAAGGGTTTAGGGGGTGTACGTTTACTAAAAGGGGGGTGTACAGGTACTAGCGCCCATGACGAAGGCCTGATTATTTTCTTGAAAAATGAAAAGTGAACTATTGAAACAACCTAGCATCAAACAAGGGGGTTAGTACTGGTACACCCCCTTTTCGTAGCCGTACACCCCCATTTTCAGTACACGCACACCCCCCCCCCATCTCGTCTGATCTTCTGATTGGCTCGGATTACTGCTCCGGAGCCTCCGATTCGCTCGCTTAACTTGCTCACTAATTCCAAATGCTCTCTCCAAATGCGGCCTTAATCGCAATCAATTACATCCTCTTCCTCTCCCTCTACAATACACTCACTATGGCCCTCCAGCCACCACGGCTGGCGTACTACGCTACAACAGAGGAAGCGCATATTGCTCTACAAGCGCACGCATCAGCGCAGGGCTACGGCCTAGCAAAATACCGTAGTAAACCAGACAGAGTGGACATACGAGCATACCTCCAGGACGCATGCCGACAGCTCCGCCGCCAGCACCGCCTATTTCTGTAGTCCCTCGTCCAGCTCCTATTGCTCGGAATGCCTATCAGTCGACAGCTACACCGGTTGATCTTTCTCGTATTGATCCAGCCTTTCTTAGGCCTACAGCTGCACCTACGGCAGCACCTACGGCAGCGCATACGGCAGCGCATACAGCAGCGCATACAGCAGCGCATACAGCAGCGCATACAGCAGCGCATACAGCA